TTAGATTCCACACATCGGTGAAATGATATGGTATTTGTCTGTCTGACTTATTTCACTTAGCATAATACCCTCTAGGTTCATCCATGTTATTGCAAATGGCAAAATCTCATTCTTTTTATTGGCTGAGTTGTGTATATATACCACATCTTCTTTATCTGTTGTGTATATATGCCACTCTTCTTTATCCATTTGTTGGATACTTGGTTGTGTATATATACTACATCTTCTTTATCCATTTGCCTATCAATGGGCACTTAGGTTGCTTCCATATCTTGGCTATTATGAATAATGCTGCAATGAACATGGGAGTGTAGATATATCTTCAATATCCTTTTTTCATTGGGGGGGTAAATACCCAGTAGTAGAATTACTGAATCATATGGTTTTTCTATTTTTTTTTTTAATTTTTGAGGAGCCTCCATACTGATTTCCACAGTGGCTGCACTAATTTATATTCCCACCAACAGTGCTTTACCCTGTTGATGAGATAGACATTCTCACCCAAGGGCCATGGAATGGCAAACACACAACACCTTACATTAGACAGATAAGATTGGTAGATATTTTTTTTTTAAAGATTTTATTTATTTATTCATGAGAGACAGAGAGAGACAGAGAGAGAGGCAGAGGGAAGCAGGCTCCCAAGGAGCAGAGAGCCCGATGTGGGACTCGATCCCAGGACCCCGGGATCATGACCTGAGCCGAAGGCAGACGCTTAACCATCTGAGCCACCCAGGCGCCCGAGATTGGTAGATATTTATTAATTATATGTATTCACAGCCCGGGGGGGAAGAAGACACCACACAGGGCCACCTAGAGGTTACCCTTGGAAACCTAGCAAATAACCAGGGGCCTGTGAAAGGCAAGCTTTGTAGCACCATTAAGATGAGGTGCCCCCTGGTTCCCTTAGGAAGATGTGATTGGCTTGTTTGAATCATTCCACAGACTGGCAGGAAAGTGAAACCTGCTATTCAGGGTTAAGGAAGAATGATATCTGATCCATTTGATAAAGAGAGATGTTTGGCTAGAGGACCTTATGTATGGGAGAAGAGTGGGAGGGAGAGCCTTTGGGAAGGCTATTTGAGCCCTTCCCAATTTCCCCCAGATATTAAAGCAGCACATAATATTGGGCCTTAATTTTAGGACTTATACTACAGTATCTTAATGAATTTTATCTACATGGAGAGGAGACTAGAACAAGGATAAGGTTATAATTGGTAAAGAAGCAGCAGTTACTCATTTTAGCCAAGAGAGGAGGGCATATTTAGCATTTTGGCATGTGACCTTGCCTTTGTGCTTAGGCAAAATTATGCAGTGACCTTGCTCTGTCTCATTTTATCATGGTCTCAGGGTGACCTTGTCAAGTCTGGTATAGTGTGTGATAGGAGAATAACATAGCCCAGCTCTGAGAGTGAGACCAGCTTCTGATTGTAGAGCTGCTAATTTTTTTCTTTCTCATTTGGGAAGGAACTAATAGTAGTGGGGTTTTAAATTAGATGGATTGATAAGAGAAAGTTTTATGAAGGCGGGACCTCGAATCTTGGCCTTCACTGCTAATAAGAAGCCATCCACATAGAGAGGGACTGAGGAAGATGGAGTCAAGGAGGGAGGGGGACAATTTGTGGAGAGCATTCCTGTCAGAAGGAAATAGCAAATGTGAAGAATGAAGTATCTCATTAGACCTGAGAGATATGTTCTAAAAAGCCACTGGGAGTGTGGCTCTTTGCTTCAGTGACTCTCAAGGGGTTGGAAGTAGGGGAGAACCAGAATCTCTGGACAAGGGGAAGAAAATTTTGGAAAGCCTCCAGGGGGTTGGGAGATGATAATCCTCCAGGATGGATCGTCCCTCACTACCTCCACCATTCCCCTACAGCTTTAATTTGGTTATGTAGACTTTATATGGAAAATCCAATACTAACTATTATTATAGCATAATAACAAAATGTTAATAATAATAAACATCCCAGACCACAAAGAATAGTGGTTATAAGCATGGACCCTGGAGCCAGACTTCCTGGGTTCAAATTACAGTTTTAGCTATGTCACTTAGCTACACTTTCTAGCTATGTCACCATAGACAAGTTACTTAGTTCATGTATCTCAGCTTCTTCAACTGTAAAATGGAGATAATAATGGTACCTACCTCAAAGGTTTGTTGTCAAGGTTAAAATATATATTTAGTTTTTAGACCTGACTCATGGTAAGCACTGTATAAGGGCTACGTGTGTAATAATGATGGTGACAATGATTGGTAAAGGAAAAAAATCTGTAGTTAACACCATATTCCTCTAGTCACAAGTTAATCATGGACTAACCAGGATTATATAAATGTCCACACATCTTATTGAGGAATGGTTTATCTTATTTATGGTTATGTACGGGGCCTCCATTCTTACTGCAAGGACAGTAATATAATGGATGAGTCTTTAGCAATATCTTAAACTATGCATTTAATTTAAAATATTTTTTTCCTCTCTGTCTGATATGTCTGATACATCCAGGTCTACCACAGATAAGGGCTTTAATACATTCTGTAACTGAATTTTTTGGACTTTGCCTAAAGAATGCACTAGGAGCCTCAGATCTTTAATTGAGGCAACCATATTTAGTGTCACTGAAATAAGTGTGATAACAGCTTGATCGTGCAGTTTGACATAAAGAAAATACCTGCATGGTGATAAGAGGATACATGAATTTCAGACAACAGAAAACCAAAGAAAATTACCACTCTGCCTGTCTTGATCAAATAACAACAGAGTTTTCTGTTCATTTCACTATATTCAAAAGCTTATTTGGATTACTATGAAATGTTAACAGAAAATCACTTGGATTATGGGCTCATGGCAGGTGAGGAGTTTTAAAATATTGCTAAGTTTTTATATTTATTAGCAGACTTATTAAGTCAAAGTAAAAGAAAAAAAAGAAGAAAAGAAATATCTGTCTTGTCTAGATACTAATGTAACAAACCACAGTGATCTGAGAAGGAATTTCAAGTATCTTAGTAGGCCTGCATGTATCGGACATTAACTTAAATTTATATACATACCTTTTCTGTCAAAGTTCAGAGCCTCAATAGAAAAATGTTGAACATCTCCATCAACTGCCATTTTTTATGTCTGAGAGAAAATCTTTTGAAAAATAAAAGAAACATTACTAACAAAACTGAAAAACTATGGCTTCTTTTTCCTGTGAGCATAAGAACATTTAACCCCCAACAGGTTGAGAGCATCATTAAGTAAAAAAGATTTTTCTTGTTTTGATGTCAAATTAAGCAAGATTTGTAAAACTCCAGTATCATATGCACTGAACTTAGGGACCCCACTGTAGTCTGTGTTTTCTGCTTGCTTATTGTTGGTTTAACATGTATAGAGTAAACCCTCTCATTAGACTGTTTTTTATTTCTAATGGACATGTTTGCACATAATTTAGGAAGCAATATTTTGGTTTGTTTCCTTCCTAGGTTGTTTTTGTTTTTTTGTTTTTTGTTTTTACTTAAACAATATCTTAGCATTTATACCAAGAAGTAGTTAATATTGATGTATAGTCAACATTAAGTTGACTATAATGAATTGGTCCAAAGAAAATACAGATAACTGAAATCTATGGTACTGCAAAAATTTGATTTGGGCCTCTACACTTAAATTTACATTGCATTGAACTATTAGCCAGACCTGCTAGCTAATAAACCAATTGAGGATAGTTTAATTTTCATTTCTTTGACCCTTCCGAAGATTCATATAACTTAAGGCACATGAATAGCGCTTTACAGTTGATAAGAACTTTTACATATATCATCACTTTTGATCTTCCCAATATCCTTATGAGGAAGGGACATTATAGAATTATGGAAGACTTTATTATCTTCACTTTCCAGATTAATAAATTGGTGATCAAGCATCATACTCTTAAGTAAATGCAGGTAATTAGCCTCAGAAAACCTAAGTCTGGAATTTTAAGCTTTATTGAACTTATTGCCTTGCACTGAGAAAAATTCCAACCTTCTTTCCCACAATAACCCCTCTAGTGATCCTTGTGTCTATATGGCTTCCAACCTTTGAAGCTTTGTCTTCACTTTTCTCACTCCTTGTCTGGAATGTCACTGCTTTTCTTGAATATCCAAACAGCACCCATCACTCAAGGTCCAGCAAAAGTTTGACCTGCTCCAAAAAGTCTTCCAGATCCAACTGTTCTTACTTAAAGAATACAGCGTTTGCAGAGATTGGTTCTTATGTTCTTAAGTGTTTTATTTATGTTCAGCTGAACTCTTCTACTCAACTATAAGCTCCTAAGAACAGAGACCAACTGTTATACTTCTTTGAAACTCACAGCCCTCTATCACTGGATATATATGTAGTAAATTCATCATAAATATTTGGCTATTATTCCTTACTGCCCAATGAAGCCATTGCTGAGCCATAGATCATCTTACTATATCTGTATTCCAGCCATGTGACTTGTAATTTAGTTTGTATAATCACCTATTATAGTTGAGTTCAGTGTAGTCATTTCAATATGTTCATATACCAGTTGACCCATGCATTGATTTCTGATGGTAGTGAAGCTCAGGCATATGGCCTCCAGGGTCAAATCCACTACACATGCCTGATGGATTCCCTGAATAGAGAGATATTTGGCCCATATATCAGTATTAAGAACAGGAACAGGAAATGTTATGCAGTGATTGCTTTTCTATAGAATTACATTAGCATCACGCATTCTGCTAGTCATAATTTCTCTGCAGATCAGGGATATCTATCAATGGTAGTTCCTGTCCTACCCCATAGGAAAATGCATTCCGTTATTCATTATAAATGATGCTGATCAAGTATATTGTCATTACAAATTTAATGTGTAAGAAAGAAAACTCCATGTAGAAATGACATCCTTAACATTCATTATGTTAAAAAACAAAAAGATGGTAACATGTGACAATTCAGTTCTTCTGGAATGTAAGCATTCTGTTTAAACAAACAAACAACTGCTTTTGTTCATATTTTAAGGAGAATTTGGAGAAGTCTGTAGTGGGCGTTTGAAGACACCAGGGAAAAGAGAGATCCCCGTTGCCATCAAAACTTTGAAAGGTGGCCACATGGATCGACAAAGAAGAGATTTTCTGAGAGAAGCTAGTATCATGGGTCAGTTTGACCACCCAAATATCATTCGACTAGAAGGTGTTGTCACAAAAAGTAAGTACTGATTTTCTTCATTACTTCCTTTATATATCTCTATCTCAGTTCCTTAAAAAACAAACAAACAAAACTTTAATAGCAGTACCATAGCCATTAAGGGGATAACTTAGTTTGGATATCATCCTCTGATATCACCCCTCATAGTCTTGATATTAGGCTACGACATTATCAGAGTTTGCATTGGTCACCAAACAGCTTTGAAATGGTATTTATTAGCTATAAATCATTTGCTAATTTAACTTGAAGTAATGAATCAAAAGTAAAGTATTATAGTTTTTTTCTAATCTCTATAAGCTATTCACTTCTAAAGCTGCTAAAATTTCAGTATTAATAGAAGAAACAGTTTAAATATTTTGGGTCATTAAGGTAAAATACTTCTGTTTGGAAAAAAATCTCATATACAAATAGAGATGCTTTATCTGAAGTAAGACTTTTACATCTACATAATGGAACCCATCTACACAAATGCCATTAGAATTAAATTATTTTAATTTATATAAAATGGATAAAAGAATTACAACTTCAAGAAAAAAAATCCTGTTTTTACAGAAATAGTGGGATCAAAGCCATTCCTTTGAAGTTTCTTAAAAATACAAAATTAATCTTATACGCTAATAAATAGATTGCTATATAATCACTTTTACTTGAATAATGATAGGACACAAACCTTAACTATATTTCTCCTTATTTTATTCACTAATGAGTTATAACATATAAAACCCAACAGAGAATGGCATTGAAAAAACTCATAAAAAATAATTTCAATCTTTGAGAAGCATTTTTTTCATAAAACTGAAATTTCTTTTAAAACCATTTATATGACATTGAAATTTCATGTCATATTTGAAAGCAGGGAAGTATAAAAGCCTTACAAAAAACATTAATTGACTGTGTGTTCCAAAGTCCCTCTCACAAGGCATTGACCAACATGCTGCCCAAGGGGAGCAGAAGATTATTGACAGCCTCAATAGTCTGAAAGACACAAAAGAATACTTTTTTTTTCTTTTTTATGGTTATCCATTTTTTTATTTCAAGTTTTTATTTAAATTCCAGTTATTTAACATACAGTGTAATACTAGTTTCAGGAGTAGAATTCAGTGATTCATCACTTACATACAACACCCAGTGTTCATCACAAGTGCCCTCCTTAATACCCATCCCCCATCTAGCCCCTCCCCCACCCCCCTCCCTCCATCAATCCTCAGTTTGTTCTCTATAGTTAAGTCTCTTATGGTTTGCTTCCTTCTCTCTTGATGACAGCTGTTGAACTGGTCTTTTACTTCAGTGACCTTAATGGGGCCTGCCAGTATTTAGGCCCTTCTCTTGTTCTCTCCATTGATTCTGGGCTTGTCCACGTGACTGGCCTTGGCTAATGGGACATTAACACGTGTGATGCAAGTGGAAGCATCTTACATGTCTGCACTTTGGATCCTGTCGTCTTGCAACACTCGTTCCTGTAACTCAGCCTCCAGTACTGAGCAAAGCCAGTCCATATGCTGAGGCTTCAAGCAGTATTGCAGAGAGGAGGGAAACTAGAATGTCTAGTCCACAGCTCTGTCTGAGCCCCCTGAGACAGCTTGAATGCCAGGCTTGCAATAAGCCATCTCAGACATTGCAACCTCTCCCCACCACCACCACCACCAGATGGCTGTAGCTGCCATTGACATCTTATAGAGCAAAGGAACCGCCCTGCTCAATCCAGTCAACCCATAAAGATTATGAGAGAAGACAAAATGACTGTTGTGTTAAGCCACAAAGTTTTGAAAAGTTAGAAATCTACTCCTGCCGCTTAAGACTTGTGCAGCTTTAGGTAAATTATTTACCATCTCTCCTTTACTTCCACATCTATAAAAATAGGGCCAATATAATTCTACTCCATAGGAAATAATGTAAGGATTAAATTTGTAAATGTATAAAGCATTTAGCATAGTATGTGTCATAATAAGCCACATCAAATGGTAGCCATTATTGGTGCTATGTGCCAGGCACTTTACACAAATAGTTTACCATTTCATTTTCACAGCAACTACTCTATCATTATCCACTGAAGCTCAGACAGGTTAATTAACCGGCAGAAAGACCTCTAACCCATAGTAAGTAGCATGGCAGGTATTCAGGCTGAGGTCTTTTTGACTCTAAAACCCATGGGGTGTGCGTGTGTTGGGTTTGTTTTTTTTTCTTTTTTCTATATCTACATGAATCAACCAGTTTTATACTTGATTTATCTTTATCTTATCTGAATTAAATAACATTAAATAAATGACAATCTGAATAAAATCATATAGTACTACTTTTTAAAATAAATAAATAAAATAAATAAATAAATAAAATAAAATTTGGAAAGATCCAGCTATACCACAATAGCTAGCAAAGACTATAATTTAAAAGAGAGAGAAGAAATAACATGTTAATTATTTCATTTATATTTTCTGAATTCCTTGTCATTAATTTAGCATGAACTTTTCAAGTCATTCCTTCTGTCTTATATCTCTCTGGAAGGAAAAATGTAATTTTAAAGTTGGGTTGTGAATCTTCCCAAAGCATTTAAAATAACAACTTAAATATAATGTTGAAGTCTTCTTACATGTATTTTTGCATGTAATATCTGGAAATAAGTGTTGAACAATAAATTTAGAGGTTGAAAGGTATTAGATCTTTTTTCTCCCTTTGATGAATAACATTATGTGTCTTTGTCATATATTCCTATGTGTTTTATTCACATATCATCATATATTTTATATGCATATATATACATAAAAGTATATGAGAAGGAAAATGATTTATAGCCCTATGAAGTAGTAAGATTTATTTATCCTAAGTCAGCTGAATAGGTTTAATGAGATAGTCAGTGGCACTCGCCTGCCAGTTTGAAATACTCCATTTATTTCACACAAACATGCAAACAGCTGACACAGTGATTGTTTCTCATCTCTGGCAATCTAGTCTCAAAAGGGGACCAGTGACCTCCACATAGGCAGATTTGTATGCTCCCTAAGTCAAGGCCCTTGTTCCATTTCAAGAAAAAGAAAGAAGTGGGGGCAGCAGGGATGGAAGGAAAAGATAAAAAAAGATCATTGAGAGGGGCGCCTGGGTGGCTCAGTCGTTAAGCGGCTGCCTT